AGGTCCCTTCCAACTCCTAAAACTCTGTGATGTGCATCTTTTGGCAAAAACACTCAACAATACTGTGTCATATACTGGAATGATAATATAATAAAGTTAAATCCCCCTTAATCCACACCCCCCCACCCCGCACATACCACCGTCAGACAAGGTCTCTCCAGGTTTCTGTGTCAGCGAAACATAATGCACTAAAGCTTAGATCTAATGAATTATCTTGGCTTTACTACCATATGTCTGCTTGGACTTCAAGACAACATCAATAACATATTCACACTAGTGACTCATTGAAGATCACTTTAATTCTCTTAATAAATGAATTGCCTTTATTTAAACACAGCAGGAAGCAATCATAATTATAATACCTTTATTAAGAGGACAGGCAACAAAAAAGTACCTCCTTTGTCCCTCTGTGGTCTCTCCGAATTTGTAAGAACAGAGAAACCTATCTGGTGATCTCATGCATGTTGGCTGGGATAATTAATTCTTAAGTTACTGCAGTGCGTGTATTAAATGTTGTAAATCACACAGACTGACTACATTTTGACTTTTAAAAAAATTACTATATCTATAGCACTTCTACGGAAATGGAAATGTGGCAGAGCAAAAAACAAAACCACCCTAAAGTAACTGGATGCAAATTTGTTCACTTAAAATAAAATCACTTTAAAGAAGAATAAAAACCTGATTTATTTCCACTTCTTTGGCTCATAAAACCATGGTCTAAAAATGGAGTGCATATAAGTTAACTAAATGCCTGGTGTCTTTCTTAGACACTGTTTTTTAATTCCTTTCAAAGCTCTTATAGATCTGGGATTTTGATGAGGGTTTAAGATAGTCTGTTCATTGCAGGATCTAGCCTCCAGATTAGTGTCTCATAGAAACTTTAAGCTAAGATAAAGCATGAGACATGAAACTAGACCCAAAGGAGAACTTTTGATAGTCATCGGGAAATAAAGACAAGGATGTAAACAGAAAGATCAATTTACAGTCTTAGCGGGAGCATTTGGTACTAATGAAGTACAGTCTATCAAAACTGCTGATCTGCTTTTGAAAACTTCTGTGATAGAAACTGGTATGCCCTACTTTTTATCAGTAAATATACTTCAGTTAATCTTATACATAAAATGTAGCCTGACAAGATTGTAGCATAAAGATCTTCCTCTAATCCCAGAGAAAGGCAATGGGAATTCTGCCGACAAGCTGTGTATGAACTGTTTAGGATAAAAATTACCCAATTACATGGAGAGAAAATAAAACATGATCTGTATCAACTGATCAAATTAAGACCAGCATGTTGACTCTGTGTGTAGTTGGCCATAATTTGAATTTGAATCCCCACAAGACAACAATTTGATCTGCAGGACTTTTCTGTTACTGAGAACAGAAAAGGAAGGCTTTTAAAATGATGTTTTGTTATTATACCATATCAAAGATATACACTCTTCACTTATATCCACTGGGAACCTGCAGGAAATAGTGTATGATGAAACAGAAGGTATTTAATGTGCTCATATACAACTAGAAATGACAATGAGAAAATGTCAAATATTTGACTTTGAAAATAAAAGTAATTCCATTTAAAGCACAGGTAGAGAAATTAAAGAGCTGATGACAGGATGAGCTCTTGAGTTTACTGACCTTTTATGGGTGGCAGCCTCAAGTTCAAAGATATCAAAATCCCAGTGTTCTTCGTTTTCCATTGCCTGTGTTATCCGTGGGGGTATGTCATTGAGGGAGATTGGGGAGATCAAACTGCCAGCGACCTGATGAGTTTCTGTTGAGGAATATATTTGCAGATCACTGTTAATAACTCTGAGATACACTTTTACTCAATGCACTTGTTTTCATTTCTATAGTAATGCCTAGCAACTCTCATTTCTATAAAGCTCAGTAATGCTGCAGAATAATGCTTATAACTACAAATAAAACCAAACAATGCTTTTAAAAAAGAACATCTGATCACTTCTTCTCTGATCACTTTTTCTTAACATGCTTTAATATCTCAGTAACTGCCAAATTAAAACTTACGTTTTGCTGACAATATGTATTCGTTCCCTGATAATCTTCGTAAACCATCCTGTTCAATGAAAGTTGAGAGTTAAATGCAGGGTATTGTACAAAAGGTCTATATGATAATAACACCAAATAGTAGCACAATGACTTTAGGTAAGCCTGACTGCAACCTGTCACAGTCATCAAAGCTGCCTCTCCCTTATTTGTGTGTGCTGTTAAGATCTGCCTGTTTTACATATAGCCCATAATAGATGAGAAAATGCAAGATCTGGGATACAATATGAACTCAGATAGGTACAAACTCAAATTTCTCAGGTGCAGATGGAGGTCTGGAATTACAGCCTCACATCCACCTTTGTCTGGACAACACAGGTTCTGGATCTGTGCCACAAAACCAGACACGGTATGTCCACAAGCAAAGGTGGGTCGTGGGAGGCAGTGGATGGAGACATACTTCTGCTCTCCTGCTGGTATTGGCAGATCAGGTCACCTCAGCAGCACAAGAATCTCCTGATTTGTTGCTGGGACTGCAGAGCAACAAATTACTCTGAGGCTTCCCTTCTATCAAAGAAGAATGTCTGCTTGTTTATTCTCCAACTCTGTGCCTCCTAGGCTTAATTCTGGCATGATGCCTAGATGTGCAAACTGAGATGAAGGATTAAAACTAACAGAATTACATATTTAATGTTTACTTTTCAGGTCATAATTCTAAATGCCGTGGCCCAAATCCTGCTCGCTCTTTTGATATATACAGCTGTTAGTTACTGCACATTAATGTTTAGCCCATGATGGAAACCAGCAGTTATAAAAAAAAAAATCGTTCTGAATGCACCTTACTAACAAAGTTATGCACCCAAAGTACAGCAGAAGTAAATGTGGATGCTGTATCTGAACATGTATTGTCTGCACTTAAAAGAATTGCTACATCTCATTTTTATTTTCACATTTGTAAGTAATTAGTCTGGAGTTTTGTGATTTAAAAGGAAAGGGAGCACTACTCACATAACTGGCTCAGTGACTCTTCAATAGCACTGCTATGACACAAATATTTAGGACACCAGATGCTGTGTATCATTTGGAATAAAAGATTAGTTTTTTTAAGAGTTGAAATAGCAGGTGTAATTGTGTCTGGCAAATCCGTCTTTGAACTCCAAATGCCCTTCCCCATCATGAATTCTGCTTGAGAGTTCAAATTCAATAACCTACTACTTTTTACCCTACTCAGACATAACTTCTGAACATGAAACGGAACAATATGATTCTGTTTTCAACAGACCCTTTGCTGGAAAAAAACTCTTAATATACCATATACCCTCATGCTCTGAAATGGATTTTCTCAGCTTTTTCATTGCTCCATAAAATAGGCTTTCTTTTATTTTTAGTAAGAATTGTGCATTTTTCAGTATTGTTACCTACATGTTCTGGGACCATGGACTCAATACAGTCAGAACACAAATGAAGAATCAACACCTCACAAAAAGCAGCAAACAGTTGGGTTTATGGACGGTGTGCATTCAACAGGAGAAAAGATTCACTTTGAGACTCAATATTCTTCCTAAATTTTTATAGTTAAGGTAACAACAAATTTTGTCTACTGAGATAGTAGATTCAACCCCATATGAACCATTCAGGTTTTCTCCTGGATTTCTTGAAATCTCTCGTGTTTCTCCTGATTAGGTATTTGCTGTGGCATTTTAAAAGGCAAAAATATATGTAAACTGTTTAAACATTCTGATGGAAACTGTGAAGGCATCTTCACAGTTACAGCATGAAATGATAATAGCCCGGAGACATCTCTGAAAAGCTCACATCTCATGAGCTTTTTTGCATCCAACATACTGTAATTTTTTTTCCTGAGGTAGCCTTTTATACACAACCTACAGACCAAAGGAAACATGTATCCTTAAGGCACAAGTAACATTCATCCAAGAACATCTAGTTATTATCAGGAAGGTCAGACTCCCAGCTCTGAAGGTTTTGGTTCAATTCTTGCTTTGCTTCATGCCCTTTGCTCAACTTTAGGTACAACACTTCTTTTTCCAATGCCCACGTTTCTCTTTTCATAACACAACAACATAATACATCCCTTCTTCAGTCTTTTTCTTGCCTTATTTATGTACATTATGAGTTCTGTGGAGCATGATTGTGTTTTAATATGTGAACATTCATGTTTCTAGCTCAGAGCACACTGATCTTTCTATGAGTCTCTACAGGTACTAACATAATCCAAGAAATAGCAACAAAAATACATATATTTTTCATTCTTTTGAAAAAATATCCTTTCTATACACTGAAAAGCCCCCAAAACATGCTATTCTAACCCTAAGTAAGAAATACAAGTGTTTAGCTATCTTTCTTCCTCTCCCATTTATAGCTTTCTAAAATGAATCACATAGGAAAAAAAATTGGTTTTCCTTTTCTTTATAGCAAAACTAATGTTTCAAAGGGATGGGTCAATTTTTTTCTTCCTATTTCCAGAGCTACATTATTAATCTAGGGAGGGAAAATCCACCAAAAGAAGTGCAACTTTTCCTGAAAATTTGGCATTGTAGAAGCAAAGCACATGTCAGATGACAAAGATCAAGTAACTGTGAAAATCAGGCAGTGAAACATTAACCAATAGCTGTTCGTGGCACTATGTACTTACTGTCATTAATCCTCCAACGAGGTCACTTGTATGTGGATCTTCATCTTTTGTCCCCAGTTGTGGAGAGTACAATTCAGTGGTTCTTAAAATCTCCAAAACGCGATCTAAAGCTTCTGCAACTGGCATGGGACTGCTTTCTTGTGCAGCATTGATGATGTTTATTACCTAGTTTAGCATTAGACATGTTTTGAATTCAGAAGTGATTTAAGAAAGAACAGAGACACTAGTCAGTTACTATGGAAAACTCATAGCAAATAAACAAGATCTACAACTTTAATCCACATGTGGGAAAATCAAAATGAAAGCGATTTTAATAAAACAGTGATGTTTGCTACTGACTCTGGAACAAGATCGTGGCCTTAAAGACAGCAGTCTTATTAATGACTTTCTCTTTCAAAGCACAGCCTCAAAATGTCTGTTAGAGAGCTGATTTTTGCCAAATCCTTGCTTGCTTTCAGAAGGCAGTTTACAATGCATAACTAAGAAAGAGGAACTCTAGTCCCTCCTTCTCACAGGTAAAAGTCCTTAAAAAGGGTCATGCCATGGCTGACCACATGGAGGGTACTCTACTGAGCAGGCTTGGGAGAACTTTGTTCAGAGCATCTGGCTTTTTGGAGTAAGTTGCATCAGAGGCCAGCAGTGCCTTGTTCCTCAGTCTGGACGCTGTCCTACTGCCTTGTGCCCAATATTCCAGTACAGCACAACTGACAACAGCTAGCAACAGTGCACAATACCTTGGTGATGGGTGCTTCAATAGTCATGGAATGTATCCTGGCCATAGAAGAGTGCCGCCTTTGTGAGCTGCCTGTGTGGAAAACAAAGTAGAATTTGTATCCTGATTTCAGTGACAAGGCATGACAGGAGGATTCAGCCAAGAAGTCTTGATTCATTTTCTGAACTGTTTACCCTGCTGTGCCCTTCAGAGGCAATCTATTGCAGAATGAATACACATGCTTATTATGCTGGGGACACACAGGTGCAAAGAGATGCTTGGTGAACCACTGATATCCCTGATTAGAGATAAGTAGCTGCAACAGCCTGGCAAAATCATGGCTTTGGTTTTTTTTATTTTAGCTAATTAAAATACTCAATTAAAAATTCAGTTAAAAGACTACACAGATGTGTGTCAGTTTAAACTGGCAGGCACAGGTAACTATTGCACTTTGTTAATTCCAGGATATATCTACTTTTGCTGCCTGATGCAACATGACAAGTCATAATGAGTCAGCTCCCCAGCTGAGGTAAATCAGTGAAGCTCCTTTGAAGTGAAGATAGCTATGCCAAATTAAAACAGCAGAGGTTCTGGCCTATTATTCATTGAAAATTGAGAAAAAAAATGTTTTATATCCATTAGCAATTTTGGTTCTGTAGAAAAAAGGCCAAGATGGGATTTTTCTGGACAGTTCTGTTGTGCTGCCTATAAAATGCAGACACATCTCTGTTACTCATTGTGTTGTGCAGCTCTTAAGAAGAATCAATGCTATTTTTGCTATACTGGAGCATGACCGTATTCTCACTGCCACAGACCTATTTCCATGTTTCACTGGTGTACACTGGCTAGACTGTAATAATGCATGCTTTAACAAAAACATGTAATATCAGCAAGTTTTGAATATGTAACACATCTATCTATCCAGTTTGGGTTGATCTAATGGAGCAAAATACAACACAGTGAAAAGAAAACAAAATTTGTAAGAAAACTATCTTCATATTTTTATCCAGAGGTAGGAAAAGTAATAATTTGTTAGGTTTACAATTTGTAATTTGTACTTCAAAGTATCTGTATTGAATCTCATCAGGTCTTTCCATGCAGGATGGTAGATGATAGCCTTCCATTTTCCACCGGTTCAAAAAAAGACTCAAAGTAGTTGAAGAGAAGAAAATGGGGCAATTTGACAAATGTAAAGTTGTTCATGAGTTGATGACTTGATTTCTTTTGTGTGTGTATGTATACATAGACAAAAACATACTTACCTATATTTGTATGTGAATCACAGAATCACACAGAATCATTAAGGTTGGAAGAGACCTTTAAGATCCTCAAGTCCAACCATCAAATGTACAGCCATAAGTATGTATGCACAAAAAAATCTGAATATATATAGAAATCAGAAAAATCTACTTGTTTAACATACCATCACTACCCCGTGATGTTGTGGATCTGACATCCAGTGATCCTTTCCTCCTGTCTTTGTGTCTGCAAGTCTGAATATCTGTGGAGAAAATTATATTGTATAATGTCATTAAGTTGAGCCTAAGATGTATGTTAAAGAAACTGAAATGCAGAGAAAGCCTGATAGCAGCTGAGTGACATTTATGACAATGCTTCAGCAGAAGAGAGCAAATGAAAGCTCCTTTTTAAACTCTCGCCTAATTACAGTATCATGAAGCATCAGTGTGCTCTGGCAGAACACGCCTAAGTGTTTTTGTAGAAGGGATCTAACAGTGTGGAGGGGAAAGGCCCTCCCTTGACACAGTGACACCATTGTCTTTGTGAATACTACTTGTGCAACACACCTGAGTTCATTCAAGTGACAACTGCCACAACAAACTGGTGGACCAAAGTAGACTACATGCAAGCAAACAAGGCAATGTACCCTAGGTCCTTTATGGACTCCAATAGATACAGCTTGCGCTACCAAGGCTACAATTAACAAGTAGCTGTAGCACAGATGTCAAGGATGTCTTAACTAAAGTGTTAATATGTGGGATAAGGATGAATGACAGTGGTGGTCATCCTCATTTCCACCCACACGCAAACACCCCACACTACAGTTAAAGGCAATGCAAACTTATGTGCCACTAGCTATAAACCAGCCACAGCAACATGCTGACTACACAGCATCCTTCTTACTTCTAATTTTGTCACAAGGATCCACTACCTACAACTGAAATGCGACACTGAATCCAGCAATACCACAATAACAACTTGGGGCCCTATTACTGCATTTTCAAGGGTGGGTTGCTTTATATCACTTCTAAAACAAATGAGGCAGGTAGAGAGGGCTGGATTCCCAGTTTATCACTGGCTAAACAGTACTGTTCAGACTGTCCTGTGCAACTGCGGTTTTCAGTCAGGTCACTAACAACAGGCTTTGTTCTTTCCCCAGGTACGTTCTCCGCTTATTAGGGCAGAAGAGATGCATCATACCTGTCTGAGATTCAGCCTGAACACGTTCACATGTCTTCTCCGCCTAGAAATCAGAGTGAGAAATCCAGTTAGTCAGAACTTTCTCATTATTTTGTAATATTTAGGGCTCAAACTAAAGCAAGCATAGCACTATTTTCACTTACCTTATTGTTGTCATTGCACAGTCTACTAATTGACACATAGTGTCTAATCTTTCTGTAGGCAAAAAACAGTGTGTTAATTCCCATCCAAACCTTAGCTCTAAGTCAGTGCTAATATACAAAACAGGTAGGAGCAACAAATTAATATGGGATGAATCCTGTTCTGGCAGGAAGGTTCGACTGGGAATGGAAAAACCCACAGTTCTGCACATGATGGTGAATACAAAATGGAAGCATCTTTTGCAAAGATTGTTTCCTTCTCTTTCTCTCTACTCCTCTCTCCCTGCTTCTTCTGGGCTACTGTAGGATGTTTCAGGTGTGAGGAAACATACAACAGTGCAGTCTAATTATCAAAACCTTTTATAGGATTTAGGGACAGAGCAAACTGAAAACTACACCACTTATTACCAGGAAACTTTCTAAGCCAGCTTCAAATGGGCTTAGATTGTTCCATAAGTAGCAATGTACGTAACACATACTGGTCTTACAAGTTTGGCATCTTAAGCTGAAAATACACCCTATTGATGGACAGTAGAGAACATGGATTACTTCCAGGGATGAAATCAACCTGAACTGCTTTTTAGGAAGTAACTGCATGAAGAAGCTGCATTTGGCCCTTCCTTCATGAAGACACATCTTTCTATAGAATTGCCTCAGCCAAGTCTGGAAGATAATGTACTGTGCTTTTAATTAACATTCACATGCCTTAGAGGGCTTTTGAAACTACTACTGCATGCAATCTGATCCACTTTCTTTCCCAGTATAGAGGACTCATCGCAACCCTAGCTGGGGTCATGCTTGAATTTTGACCAGGATCAAAGCACGCAGTGACCTTATTACAGAAAGACACTCAACAACAGCCATGAGGAGGTGAGCACAGAGGGACATGGCACAGGTGCACAATGCACAAGAAGACAGGAGAGTGCACTTGCACTTCGGGGGGCATTAGAAGACAAGACACATTAGAAGACATTAGTCACAAGGACCTTATCACAGAAAGACACTCAACAACAGCCATGAGGAGGTGAGCACAGAGGGACATGGCACAGGTGCACAATGCACAAGAAGACAGGAGAGTGCACTTGCACTTCGGGGGGCATTAGAAGACTAAGAGTCACAAGTGAGCACATTTGGAATTTCACTTTCCCTGCACTTAGCATGTAAAGTTGATTTTGCCCTGAGGAATTAAATGCAGAGGTCTGAGGCTCCCTTCCTTACATAAGTTTCTTTTATACTCCATAACAGGATAATCCAATGTCTCCTAAAAGCAGCTGAACTCTAAACTGAGCCTTGATTCAGACCTAAATCGTGGCTTTAGCTTTCATACTTACCCTCCCTGTCCAATGACAGGTAGTATCTTCACATTTTGTTGTACGCTATCTCCATTTTTCTTTCTCGCATAGTACATTCCTTGCCATTCCTGAAAAAGGAATTCAAATGGAAGGAAGTTGTTAAAACAGGAAGAGAAGCCGTAGCTTCATATCCTTTTTCATTGAAAGCTGTCTTACAATACAAAACCAGTCAGGACTGGTTAAACTGTGCTTACCCTCAAATTTCTCCCCTATAACTACCCTGTAGGTCACTACTGGTGCCAATTCATGGAGCACTTCCAGAGGGGCAGCCTGTGAGTGCCCCGATGGCAAAAGCCAAACTTCAGGTGCTTTGGGAATCAAAATCACATACTCTCTTCCCAATCCTACCCCAGTGGTGTTGGGGGTCACTGCGGGGAGACCTGGCAAAGACCCATGCAAGAGATAAAGCTTGCCTAGAGCAAGAGTAGCCCAGAGGCTCCAGGAGCGCCTGCAGGATCCAGTGGTGTGGAGGAGCCCCCTGCCCTGCCCCAGGACCATCCACCACAGGGCTGTGACTGCTGTGCTGACCTGCCTGACTTTCTCCCTGACTGCGCTGACTCCTCCCAGAACAGGAAGGTCAGTGGGGAACCATTATGCCAATCTGTCTGCTTTCACTTCTAGACTGCACTGTCTCTCCTGCAGAGCTGAGAAGTGATGTTAGCATTAAATATATCTGTGACTAAAAGTGCTTCGGTATCCTAATAACTTTATTTTCCATACTGTCAGTTCAGTCTCAAAAAGCAGCAGAGATTTATCCTGGCTTTTTTAAAGCAAAAGAGATCCTAGTAGAATAGCTACTGAACTCTGCTTCCCATCTGCTGACTTCCCCTCTAAAAGCACTCTAGTTTCAGGATAACATTTAAGTAGGCAATATTTGAAGTATCAGATTGTCACTATCAGTATCATTGTTTTTTGATAAAATTCATAAATGGGGAAAAAAAAGACAGGGTGGAAAGTAATTTTTCAATTTGTAGTGAGAAGTCTTTTTTTTTCCTGTGGAAATGAGACATTTCTTTCTAGAAAAGAAAAATATCTCTTTTCTCTTTCAATGAGACTCAGGAAATGTCCCTTCTCCCTTGTTTAAGATATGCTTTAAAATGAAATACTGTTAAAACAATCACTTTTTTTATACAGAGATTTTAAATCCAGAAGACACCATCGTGATCTAACATGCAGCCTCAAACCACCTCCTTGCTCTGGAGCCCTCACCCACGCTGTGAAGTAGGAGAGCTCCCACACCAACGCGTGCAGGCTTGGCTAAACGTGGCTTCAGCACACGCCGAGGCATCGGCCCCTTACCTGTTCCTCCCTCCCAATTTCCTCACTGCGCTGCTGCTGCTTTTCAAACTGTGCTACAAATACCACAGCAAAGACATGTATAATAACACTGATGGACCTCCCTGGTCTCCCCTTGTGTGTGATGCCTGGACTAGAGCTGCCATTAGGAAAAAAGGAAGGAAAAAAAACCTGAAGGCCATTTAGGAAAACTGAGGGAAAGCAAAATTTGGGAACCCTGAGTCTCCCTCTTTAATTGCTGGTGGCAGTACAGAGACCAGTAACCTTCCAACAGAGCCAGTCTTTTGTAACCTGGCAGCTGACAAGGTTTACAATCTTGCCTACACGTCTTCCTCCCCAGAATAGTTGTTGATCTCTTGAGTCGGGCATCACACAACTGCCAAGTGATTAATAAAGAATTGATTCCATATTGCATATTCACTAATATATAATACAAATTACCCACGCCAATTACTGTCTTTCAGTTGAGTTCAACAGACTTTAGATCAGGTCTTACAAACGTATACGAAAATACCTTCATGAGGCACATGCTATTTATTTATGTTAGACTGACAGATCTTGCAGTCAAGCAGACCAGAGCACAGGTAGAGAGAACAGTTTTGCATTTATGTTGATGGAGCCAGCAAATAAAGACTCCAGCCCGCAGAGAGCTGCATGGTGACAGGCTGTGCAGAAAAAAATAAGAAAGGCTTTTCCAAGGATCTGTCGGAGAAAAGAACTGTGCATAACAAATTGGGAAGTGAGCATAATACCTTCTCCTGTGAGCTGCACGAGGAATACAAATGAAGATACAGCAAACATCACAAAATTCAATGCTCTCATAATTAAAGGTATCCATATCAATAGTTTCCTGACAACCAGGATGAGGCAGAGATGCGTAATCGATCTCTAACCCAGGTAATAAACCCAGAATATGCACAAAGGGGTGCAGTCATGAGGTACAGATGGGATAATTCTCGCACTGAAAGTGCACCCTTTTCAAGATAGGTTATTCACTAATGTGTTCTTCTTCATCAACAGATCGATTTTTCAAGTTGTGAATTTCTAAACCTGTGAAACTGTGGCAGGAAATGTGTGAGGGAAAAGGTCAGCAGAATTCTGAAAAATAGGATGCCCAAGCCAAACTCCTGCTGGTAGGTAAAGTTCTCCCAGGGACATTACTTAAACATATTTTAAGAACACCATATGCTCTCTCGCAGAGCCCTGTCAGCAATCCAACAGAGAGGAGCTACTTCACAAGACGTGCTGTCAGTCAAGCTCATCCTTACATTACAGCCATACAAGTGCAGTGATCAGTCACTCCAGCTTGGCCTGGAGCGCTGGCACAGAATGCAGAGTGAAAACCATACACAGTAAAAAAAACCAAGGGTTTCACCCTTTACAGACTGAATCAATGTTGAGGTTGCAAACTTCATTAAGAAGGCCATGTCAGCATCTATCCACTGAGCACTCATACTAGCATAGTAAATAATCCCCCAATTCAGCCTTCCATTTAAATTGGGACTTCTTGCACCAGACAGCAAATTTCAGCAAGTTACTTGTAGAAAACAGAGCAAAATAAACACAAGATGTCATGAAAACAATCTCACAGAAAGTAAGGTTGAGTTAGGCAGGAATTACCGTAGAACTTTACCATAGAGCATGATCACTCTCCTACCTCCTCTGTAAAGATAGACACCTTGCAAATAATTCCCAAGGAGTGAGAGGAATTGCACGTCTTGTCTGATTTATCGATACTTATCCATCTCATTTCAGAAAAAGCGAAACTAAGATAAAGAGCTTTGTGTCAAACTGCAGAGATCAGAGGCAGCAAGAAATCTAGTCAGAATTGCACATTTCATCTTAATGGATGTCATTTGAAAAATGAAACGGAAGCATGAAGAAAGTACAGCTTGTTTTTTAACTCCTCAAGTGCGGATGGGTGAAAATGCTTTTCAATAACGCTGGCTTCTTGCAAATTACAGCCAGCTGTAGTAACAAAAATGTACTCTCAGAGTTATTTCTTTGCTAAGAGAAACAGGAATCCTGCATACCATGCAATTACCAATTTTTGTGTATAGTGCCTGTGAACTTTTGTTTGGATAGACTGTACTCGCTCACAGCACTATGCGTGTCAGCACAATAGGGGAAATGCTGCAAGAGTTCATCTTCCTATATTCCATTTAAAGACTAGGGGTAGATTTTATACAGCTTACACTTTTCTAAAGATCAGGAAATCTTGCTATTATTTTTGTTATATTACCATGCTTGTTCAAAACAGAAAAGCCCAACCTGTTGACAGGGGAATATCACAGTAGTAGACAGCTGGCTTTTTTGGTATACTTTAACCTACAGTAGTCAAGACATAGCCTATTGTAATGGGAAGCAGTCTTTTAAATTTAGGATATGAAGAAATCACAAGCCTGAAAACAACACACAGACCATGTCAGAATGATCCAGACATAAGTTAGGCACCTCTGAGAATGCAGTAACACAATGACTCCAAACTAAAGCACCTTCAAAGGGCTGCAATATTTCAAAGGTTGCTCTGCACCATTAACATCTACTTGCAAATACTTCCTGTAAGAATTTGCAGTTAATTTTTCTATTTATATGTAAATGTAAGGCTACATAGACTGCATGCTATAAAATGTTCCAATGGGAAATACAAAAAAACAGGTAAACAGAACACATCCACCTAAACCAGCTTAAACTGTTCCAGACAGACAGGTTTAAATAAGTAGTATTTCATTAGTCCTCACAGTTGGAAGTCCTAGAGCCAGGAGTAAAATAATGCAAGGAAAGAGATATATTAGGGTAAGATTTCTATCATTCATAAAGTAAAATGTATTTCTGCTATTAAAGACATTCTTATCAGCACACTAAAATACTAAAAAATTGATCACCTCATACCTTGAGGATTGATGTTGTGGATTTAAAGCCTGACTTACGTAACGTATTTGAATTATAACTCAATAAATACTCTGTCATAACATCATATGTATTACACACATCTACGGAAATAACTTTGGTCAGGCAACAGAGGTGTGAAGCACCATAATCCAAGCTATTGTCTGCTGCTGGGATCTCTTCCAAAAGGCCAATACACGTAGCAATGAGTGACATATTCTTGTGGAAATGCACATGCAATCTGCACCCAGCTAGAGTGCGGCTTTTGCCGATGAATGCTCGTGTTAGCACCCTGATTTACACAGTATGACTCAGCACAACTTTGCATCGGTGTTTTTGCATCACTGCCTAGATACGCAGGGTGTTGTGATTCACTTTGGCAACTCCCTGCTCTGTGTCAATAACCTGGTGCTTGCCCCCAGTCAGTATGACCCAGCTGGCTATCCTGACTCAGGTCTGAGCATGGGTCATGACGCACCTACAAACACACCAATTCCCAAATCTCTTTGTGCTACCTCCACCACCTTCTTCCTGTAAGTTACTATGACATGTTCAATGACATCAGAAGGATTTACACCCTGTTGTCAAAATACAAATGAAAGCTCCTAGATGGATCCTCAGACTCCAGCCACAACACAGTCCCAAAGGAACATCATGGAGCCACCAGGCAAACCATACTGTCTCTCTGTAATGACCTCCCTTGAAGCCAGCTGCATTTCCTCATGCGCTTTCTTGGTGTAACAAACATTTCTAATGGAAATCTATTAGCTCCCATGTCATTAGAGAATAAAAGATAGTGGCAGCTGGCAGCTGACACTGCCTATCACTCTCAAGTGATGTTGCAAATATCTCTTCTGATATTTTTATGTTCTGAATTTGCAAATAATCTTCCACATTTCATGCTGAAATACTCCAACATGGTTCTTTTCTCATTTATATCACACTGGATAACGTGTGCATCCACACCATTTCTCTTCAGTATTCCCACATCTTTTGCTATATACATCATATATTATAAAGAAATACAGCAAGACACTTATTTTCATAAAACATGTACCTCCTACATGCAAGAAAAGATAAGGAAGTCCTTAAAAATGAGCATTTTCTACTTTCTCTTCTTATTTGAGTAAGAAAGCTGCAAATGCTACATGCCTGTAAAGCTGCAAGTTAAATCATGTGTCAACCCTGGACAATAACAACTTTTACAGGTAGCAAATGGTAAGTGATAGAATGCCATTACTCACCTTTCCTATCTTTATGCAGGAATTAATAGTATCTAGGAAATCAGCTTTTTTTTCATTTATAGGCACTTCTGTTAACTCCTTTCCTATTAGTTCACCTATTTGATAGCCCATCACTGTTTCAAAAGCAGGATTGACATACTGTGAAATAAAGACAAACACAAAAACTTTCAACAGAACACTTAAAGCACAACAGAATGCCTTTTTTTCTATTTGCTAATTTTTTCTGTTTGCTTTCCCAGCCTGAAATAGAGCTCTGTATGTAGTGCTCCTGAGAGTGATGCCCACTTTTTCTTCTTTGTGAAGCAAACCAGGAATGTCTATGCTAGAAGAGTTGAGTGTGTGCATCTGAGCAAAGAGAGGGAAATTATAGAAACAGTTGACTATTACATATCCACAAACTTTAGACAAAGAACATAAACTCCTGAAAATCGAGCTCTGTCAGTTCCCAAACCTACCTCAGTTTTTCTAAAAATCATAAATTAGATGGTAGGATACCATAGGAATACTAACCATATCTACTGACAAACTCATCACTGTGTGTAAGGGCCAACCACCACTACCTCACATGTCCAGGCAAAGCCCAGCCAAGCAGACTGGAAGAAGTGGAATTAAAAAAGCAACTTTGTCTGTGAACTGAGTGTTGCATTTCGCTGCAATGCTCTGGCCCTTGCTCAACAAAACTGAAGACTGGTACCCATAGCCCACACTTCCATGACGCTTTTGCTAGCTGAGTTACAGTCCTGTAATAACAACATCTGAATGCCTTGCAACTAAAAATGTTTCAATATAAGAGAAATAGAAAGAGTGCCACTGGCACCTAAAGGTTCACCCCTGAATGTTCCTTCGAAAAGGTTCCCACCCTACATAGGAAAAGCCCAGCCTGCTGGAGCTCCAGGACTCTTGCACATGTCAGTTCTCTCACATTCTGGGGCTGTCAGCAGAGGTAAAAAATTTGGTCTGAAAAAACTGTTTAAAACCACTTCAGGATGTGTTCTGTTATTTTTGTAAAAGGGATGAAGAAGGCACATCCTTCAATGAAATTGCCATTGTCAAGATTTGGGTCAAGAGGGTACAATTTATATGCATGTTATAACTCCCAGAGGCTTACACTCAAGCTCGTTACTGACAATAAAATCACTCCTCACAGCCTTCATAGCTAGGGATGGAACTAACTTCCTTATAAAGATTAAGTATTTCAGAACCGCAGACCTAAGCACAATTTCTTTTCCCTTTTAAAATAAATTTTTAAGACAGGATTACCGTTGGCCCAAGAACTCCAATGCATCAAACAGTATCAGATTTAAGAGAAAAAAAAAGTGTACTACCTTTATTTAAATAGCACATCGATTAGATCTGCTTTTCAAGAGCATCAAATTAACATACAATCATTTTGGAAAAAAATGCATACAAGCTAGTGGCTGCACTCATTCACGATATAAAAGAATCATTACAAGAAATAAAAACAAGAGAGTAAATCTTTATTCATTCAGAAGTAACACTGACTTGATTTATGCAAGGTATTTTAAATGGAGCAAATTCTACTCCACAGCTAAACTCACTCCAGGCATTTAGAATCATTAGGTCAGGTTAGACTCTTGTACAGTAAGATAGAGTAAATGTAATCATGGCCGAAATAAAATAGTCCACAATGCAATTTTCTGTACTTACAAAAATAACTGGAACAAACCTGTATTACATGGTCTTCACTTGTGATCTCAATGGCTTCTTGACTTTTCTCTAATGCTGTAAATAATGAATTACATGCCCTGGAGATGAAAGGACAAAAAATAAAAATAAGAGGCATCTGATTAAATTTAATCCACATAATTATTGTATATAGCAATAAGGTATTGCAACTCCATACTGAATAAAGTTGCACTTCAATGCTTATTTTCTTCAGCTGACATTCTATCATTTATTAAGTACAATAAAATAAATAATCTTTAAAAGATGTGGATGAATTGGGGTTTTTTTGTTGATAATGTTTTCTTGTAAAATTACCTTAGTTTGAATTGTGCCTGCACCTCTCCAAACTTCAGCTGAATCAACTCATTGTAACAGGCCATGATATTAGAATTTTCTACGTATCTCTGCAAATGAAAGGTTAGAAATATTTCATTATTGCACATTTCCATACTCAAGGGTATGAAGCTCTGTTTTCTTTTTCTTGATAAAGAATTCAAAAGGAGCAGACGGGCCAACAATGAACATGTTGTAACACAAGCAACATGAAAAGATTAGTTTGGGGGAGCAGTAACATTCTTCAGGTTACTGCATTTTGAAAAGGTGACAGATCCTCACGGCAGTGAGGTTCAACCTATCTGTTTATTCTCTGTGATTGTCATCATAACCAATATATAAAATAATCAACTTTGAATGAAATTACCTGTTTCCACACTACTTATTTAAAATAACAGTGAAAAAATTATGATGTGTCTCAAGTCATCAAAATTTGAGATTATTATGACTTTCCAATTGCTAATACTCCCAAATTGTATACATAGAAGAAAGGAAAACTTCCTAACAAATCTACCTGCCCTTGCATACAATAATTCTTTCTGGGGCTTGCATAGCAATGATCTGAGTATCTTTGATGCTCCTTTAAAGCATCTCGTGTTTAAGGTATGAAGGTATGAACCTGAATCTTTGTTCATGCTAAACTGTCACAGTTGATCATTTGGGACATTGATAGTTTGAGAGAGAGAATTGATTATAAAAGGCAAGTCACCACATCAGGGCTGCTAAACAAAATTTTCTATGCTTTGTCATTAGCCCCATCTCCAAGGCCCTGATCCATAAATAATTCAGAACCTGTGCCGGACTACTTACGTGCCCACTGGAATGACTTTATACATATAAGTACAGTTATTTCAGGCTCTAGCATTTCCTGTATTAGGACCTTACTACAAATAAGCAAATAGGTGCAAATGGATTGTGGTAGGATAGCAAAAAATCTGGTGAGCACACAACCAAATACTCTGAATCACGCTGTAAATTATGCACATTTTTGTTCCATTGTCAGCTTAATACAATGAGGAATCCACTTAACTGTAGCGCTAATAAGCACCTTTCCTGCTTAATTGGAATAGTTGCCAAGGAACAGATTCAATGCAAGACTTTTCAGGTGCCTCCAAACAATAGATAATAGCACTTGACACTGTCTGAAGCCTGTTTACAGATGTGAATTGGCACAGATAGAAAAGATTTCCCACAGCACATTCTGTTGTTCATTGCAAGCTGCTCTGGCTCTGCCACAGTCACTAATCAACAAAGTCAACTTTTCAAGCAGAGCATCATGCACGTACTCTGAAATAAACATACAAAGCAGAAAAGTTTCAGCACCACTTCTTATATTCCCAAGAATGTCCACCTTAATTAGCACCAATTCTACTGTGTGTATGGTAGTTCAGAATTGGGATACACATAAGAATGATCACCATGAACAAGATTTACAGCTTGGATTACTGACACCAATGGTCACTGACAGCCAAACTTCTGGATAGTTTCCTGCATGAAAATTTTGAAACGTCAGAGCAACCTAGTGAAGTATAACACATACATACCCTTGTGAAGCCAGCAGAGATCAGGGGCAATATTGATGACTCTTCACGGTCAGCGTGCCTTTTAAAGAAGCATAATAAAGTCAGAGCTTATTTCTGTAACTGACTGAGACTCGATTTCACAAGCCATTGACACACCTGCAGCCCAGATGTCACACTAAAGGCTAATATGGCTAGATCCCATGAATAAAACAATTTTTTGTTGTTTTATAAGCTTTCATCTTGGGCACGAATAAGCCAAAATGTTATTTTCCTTTTTACATGTAATGAGTTGCTTACATCACCAAAAAATAATGCTTCAAGAAAATAAATTAATCAGCTAGACTGTCAGACCATTCCTTCTTTTTCAGTACTGGATTCTTTGTTGTTGATGCTGTCCCTAGTCAAAGATGCACCTGAAAGTCTACATAGCCAAAGTTTCAAGAAATTACTTGTTACCTGAGTGTACCAAATCTTAGGTGGGCAACTCAAGACGTATGCATGAGTATGGATTTTCTAGTGTTGCCCACCCAATGCCTTCTAGTAGGTCACTTGGAGATGAGTTCTAAAATGAGAAAGCTGAGTAACTTTTAAAAACTTGGCTATACTAACTGCATACAGTTACCATATATGAGACACTCCAACATATGTGAAAGCACGGCTGGAATCTGGAAGAAAGGCCATTATGTTAAGTTTCTGTAAATGAGCAGCTGGAAGCTGGT